GTTATTAAAATATATTTCAAAAATATTTTTGGAATAGAATTCAGTTGATATTATTTTAATCCCTAAAATTAAGATTGATGGATACGATTGGTTCAGTGGTGGAACCGATAGAGATAAATAAAATGTGCTGTCATCAATAAGTGCAAAATTCGTTTTATTTAATAGATGATAATATGGATATATCCACCAAATGTAAAACTAGATTATCGACGAACTTTAATGTACAAAATCATTGTTATATTTTAGGTAAAATAAATTGTTTGCAAATTCATGAAATTTCCAGAAATCGATAAAACACCATAAAGTTCGGCTACAAAATTAAATTCTTTGATATTTTATTTTTCTCGTTCTTAAAATTCTATTGTTCATACTAATTTATAAATATTTTTAGACTTGGTAATATGAAAATTAGGTATCATAAATTTAGGTTGATAAAACATTTTTTTAAATATTTTTAACATTTATATTTAATTTTATTCGATTTAAAAATAATTTTCATTTCACGTATGTAGATTTAAATAACGATGATATATGATTTATCGAATCCAGCCCTTAAATGTAAAAAGTAATTAAATTGTTTTAATAATTTGAGGTAGACGGACCTTTTTAATTTACATGTCAAATATTGGAACGGTTAATTTTAAAGTGATTTATTGAAAGTATGTGTAATATCGCGGGATTACTGCAAAAAATGATCAAATCATATTTACAGAAATTACAAATTAAAAATATCCTAAACTTTTCATATTCACCATTCGCAACATTTTACGTAATGTTTTCATTTTTATTACTTTTTGTCATTAACAGTTAAATGAACATAGTTTTAATCAAATTGTAATTCTATTTCAAGGATCTATCGCAATCGAGGATGAAATTTTAGAGTAGCTAATGTTGTGCATCAAGTGGTCCTTTTTAGGTTTGGAAACCAGAAGTAACTTGGAAAATAATTTGCCAATCTTATTCATGAAAAAACGAGACTTTTGAAAACGAAACTAGAGTGTTATGTTTAGTTCTTGGGGATAAATTAGTTATTTAATTCGTCGATGTCCATATCTCCTTTGCCCATAAATTTCGAATCCTACAAAGCAGTGAACCATGTTAGACATAGCGTCGCAAACAAATGCAAGAGGTATATCATCCTTATCGCATTTTTCTGCATACAATGCTTGTATCATAGTGATTGTGGAGATAATGTCTCTTTAGTCATTTCCTGCAATAGTGGGATTAGGTACATAGTGAGAAAACATCAATGTGAGACTTGTTTCGAGTAATAATTTTCAGTAAATTTGGAAATATTATTTACGCCGCATCTACTCGGCCACGACAAATTACATAGATGAATTTTTATTCCATTCTTTTTTATTGTGGAAGATATTATGAATCTATAGGCGGACTTCCGGCCATAAAACCTCATAGACTGGTTAGTAACGAGCAGAAAGAAATAGCGAAAACCTATCTCCGACCAACTAAATAAATCTTAATCTATACAGGGATTAATCTTAATCTCTCTTCATTCTGCAATAGCTTGGTTAATTATCACCGCAGTTAACAGGAATTCAGAAACTGAACGGGGGCTCTTTATGTTCTAGAAATTCTACCTCAATCTTATGCAGTTACAAGTTTTTTAGGGAAATATGTAAAATTTTAAAAGTACTTTCTTTCAATAACTTTTAAGTTAAAAAGGTTTTTGATTACTTTCTTAAAAACTCTCTGAATTCAAAAGGTTGAATTGTAATTTATGATTTAAATTCAATAGGAAAATAAGTAAATAAAATATAAAGGTTAATTAAACAAAATAGAATTGTAACGACATTCAACCGTTTCAACCGTTAAAAGAAAATGAAAGAAAAGCGAATAAGAAGGAAATCGTTAAGAGCCAAGAAATCGTATTAATTTTATTTATTTTATTTAGGTTATTTTCTTTTTCTAAGAAAACTTGTTTCAATTTACTTCCTACAAATTTATTTCTTGTAAAGCTGAAATACGGCAGCCTTGACATATTAATAAAATAAACTCGATTTGAATCAAGTTTGCAATAGTTTCAATTTCTGTTCGAGTTCGTTTTAGGTCAGGTTCGCATTGCGGGGGGGACAAACACACATGATTTACATTCTTGCGCGAGCATGTTCATAAATCAAACACAGAGAGAGGCGCATTACAAATACCACGAGTTTCGCGATCGCCCCCCAGATCTCCCTCACTCTGGGTACGCCACCGCTCTCGGCAGAGACAAGACAATGGCCCCCTAGGCCGGATTGAATTATAATCGAATTACAATCGATTGATTTACTGAGAACCGACGCGGTACCGTCAACACAATTAAATCCCTAAGTGACACTTTGACGATGCGATTCTCATTTTAAATTTAAACACAAAATATATTTTCGTTATTTAAACTTTTTGAGTTCAGCGAAACACAATTGAACAATGGATTTTTTTTTTGGGGGAGTCCCGTTTTGAATTTTAATTGGATTGATGAGTTATTGATGAATTCATCGATTGGAAATATTAAAAATAAGATTCGAATCGCATATAAATTATCGAATTGACATTTTTAAGAAGTTGGATCATTTTTATAAAAATAAAGTTTGGGAATGTAAGCGTTGGAATTAGAGAGCAGCATTGTCTCATGTTCTAGTGATTAAATTACATACAAATTCACTTCCCGGTAAAACGTATAATTGTTTATGTGAAACTAAATCCTCCAAATCGAAACAGTTCAAACCAGGCAAAATTGTATTTGGACCATGTTCATTACTGTGGTCGGTAATGAATAGCTTTGCCATAATCACACTGTATACCACTAGAGTATTATGCAGATTAATGTGTACAATTACAGTATTGACTCTGTTTTCTAATCTTTGCAATTATAGATTTTAACCAAAAACTATTTATTTAAGAAACTTTTAAAGATGGCAATTAATAATTAAAATCATATCTGTGTTTAATAGAATGAAGTTGTTGAACCAATTTAGAATTCTTTTGATATTTGTAGCCTAATACAACTTGTTTATAGGCAACTTTGATTACAGTGAATTAATGCAGTTTTCTGTAATGCATTGACGAAGTTTCTCAAAGGTTTATTTATATATAAAATATATTTAGATATAGAAAAAGTTTAGTTCACAATAAAAATTCAAGTTGTAATATATTAGATGTGCAACCTGGGGATGCCCATTTACTGGAAATGATCCCGAACCTGGTTTGGAACTATGCTTTTAATTGGTGCCTAAATCTATAGATAGCGCATTCATCAAAAAGTAGTAAACTATATCGGTAATTTTAAACAAACACAGGGAAATAACCCAGCAATAATCTAATGTAATCGATATTGGATATTGTAACATTCAAAACAACACTTCCAATTCGACAATACGAAAATGCAATCTATCAACATCAACGTTCACATCAGCAAACAACAAGCGTTTCTAAAGTTTTCACCATAATAGGGGCAATAACGTAGACCAATCCTCATTTCGATTATATCACCTTGACATATGTTACCTCCAAATCAACCAAACAATGAGATGTTTGCTAAAGATAACAAAAAAAGTATAAAAGTTATAACAGCGACCATTTTGATCAAATCAATTGAGTTTGATTAATTAATCTACCAGAAAACCAACCCGAAAGAGTCAATTGACTTTGAATAATATTGAGAAACCTTTAAACACAACAAATAGTGTCCTTTGCTAAGACGGTGAATCAGTGGACAACAATAACTTCGAACCATCGCAGAATGGAAGGATATTCCTCAGAACACCCACCAATAGCATGCAACGATATCAAAGCATATGATCCATGGTTACTGTATGACCAGTTTGAATGTTTGCTAAAGCTTGCTTTAAGTTCAACGTTATGTAATGAAAATAATCAACATGGCAACACGATGGTGAAGTATTTCAGGAAGGCAAAACAGAACCAAAACCACCTGCATCGTTTGAACGTTTCAATTACAAAGAAATCTTATGAAAGCTCTCATCGACACCGGATCTACCCACAACATTGTACGGATGGATTCATCAACCAAATCAAAACACCTTATTCTGGAAAAACCTCTTCCCCTACTTTGCTTCTAGGATCTCAAGATCGATGAGGAGTTCCTTAAGCTTTCTGGTCAGCCTCACCCTATCATCAAACAAAAGGACCACCACATTCTGGAAGCACTAAAGCCCGTTTATACTTGTATACAAATTTTAGTAATGTTTTGACATTATAAAGATTGCTCTACAGTTCACCATTGACAGAGTTCACCATTGGTACAACCCATCATTACACGAGTCGATTAGGGGGTTGTCATTCTGATTTCTGTTATACAGATTCAGAGGCAAAAGCAGAAACATACGTGAGTGAACCAAACAAATGTCTAAACGTCTGATGATGATGTTCATGGTTACATTACGTGTTAAACACTCGAGACAGTTCGTGAAAATAAACTATCTCTTAGCTTAAATTTGATTATGAAATTTTGATAAATTCTCTACACCTGCATTAGAATTGCGAAAATACCCAACCCAATCACAACATTAATTTGGCGCAATTCTTCTATTATGTTTTAGCTTCATAGGATATGGCTCTGTTGTTCACCAATATTCCTTGGAGCTGAATATACGGAGTTCTCAATATTTAATATATCACTTATCCAGATATTAGAATTTAACATAATCATCAATATAATCATTAAATCGTTAATTTGTTTATAGGAATCTATTTTAACGAATAAGCTATGACCGATTGCATTGACAGTTTTCTGTAAAAGAATGAGATAAGAACACAAATAAAGCTTAGTTATGTAAATATAATAATGTATACAAAGAATAAAACTTGTTTGGAAGGTTAGAAAAATATTTTTTTTCTTTATTGGTCACGAAAATAATGACAATTTCTTTTTACATATATCCACCTAAATATTTAAAAAATCACTTTTTGATAAATCGCCTAAAATTATTAAAGAAAACCGCAAAATAAAAATTATAGAGTAAATAATAAAAGAACGTAACTCTATCACAAGTGCTTGTAATAATGTAAATAATAACCCAACATCTTTATGTATTTTATTCATTCACTACTAGAGGACAATATTAGATAACGAGGAAAAATAAAAATGGAAATCTTGAACAAAGAAAGAAGAAATACATGAAAAACTATATACAAGTTAATAGTTAAGTACATAAAAATATCCCTTACGTAAATAACACGTTAAAATAACACTGTTATCAGCAAAAAGATATTTGAAAAATTCGCATTTATTTTTTTGCTTTTTTTTATGTTGTATTTTTAAACTAAATAAGCTTATTAACAACCAAAAGACACAAACATTAATAACTTCTCTTTTATTTTAAATATTTTTTATTTTTAATTTGCATCTACTTCTGAAATCTTCTCGAATCTTGGAATGCATTTTTTCTCTTTTATTTAACATGCGCAATCGCAAGAACAACGTTTTACACGTTTAGCTGGTTTCAGAACATTGTCAACAGAACGAACTGATCTTGGATGAACAACTAAAAAAAAATAAATCAAATATAATTAATTGTTTAAGTTAACATTTTCATTTCAACTCACAATGTGGTCTCATTTCTTCATTAGGTCCAGCTTGATTAGCTTGTTGTTGAGGTTCAACCGGAACAATTCTCATTGGAAGATCCATCGGAATATGTCTTGCATAACCTTGTCTTCCATTCATTTCCGAAGCGCTAGTCCTTTGTTGTTGAACTACCTGGTTTTCAATACTTTGACCTTGCCCGGATTGATCTTCATCATCTTGTTGAGATGAGAAAGCAACGATTACATCTTTATTGGGGAGACGATTAATTTGGGTCAAAATCTGTTCGGGAATGCTCATTCTATGAGGAACCATGTAATCGATTGGGGCATACCCATCTTGTTGGGAATTATCTTGTTGTTCATCATCTTGCATATTCTCATTAGATTCTTCTTCTTGTTGTTGTTGTTGCTGTTGTTGTTGTTGTCGAGCGACTGCTGCTGCTTCCATTTGAAGCCTTTGCGCGATTATTTGTTGAGCGATATGTTGAAGGACTTGAGTTGGGGGAAAAGCTGGTGTTTGAGGTTGTTGCGATTGTTGTTGGAAATGTGGGATTTGTTGTGGTGGTTCCATTGGGAAATTTTGAACAGGCATAGGTGGTCTCATTGTTTCCATTGGATGAATTGCCTGGATTTGTTGAATTTGCGGAATTGGTTGTTGTTGTGGAGGCATTGGTAATCTATTCACCATTGGTGCTTGTTGCATTTGTTGAACTTGCATAGGCATGTGAGTTTGGAAATTAGTATGAGGAATAGGGATCATTATTGGTTGAATCATAATCGTTTCTTCTTCATTATCATCATTGTCTTCATTCTCTTTTTCATTATTGTTTTCATTATTAGAAACTTCGTGTCCGCTTTCACACAAAATCGCCATCCTTTCACCACTAATATGTTCGAATTTAGGATCGGTTGTTAAATTTAATCCAAATGGAAGTTGAATAGTTTTTGGTTGGTGGTCAACAACTTGTTCAGCCCTTTTTCTTTCAACAATGCAATTTAATTTCGATTTTTGATTCTTGTCCATCACGCTGTTAGCTAAATCATCAAAATCTAACTCCAACGGCATTTTAATATGGATTATTTTATCGTCTTCTTCGCTACTCGATGAATCCTCATCGTTTTTTTGATTCTCTTCAATTTTATTATCAACCATCTCTTCCAACGCTTTCTTTGACTTCTCTTCTTTTAATTCTTCTTGTTGTTGTTGTTGTTTAGCAGCGGCCAAAGCTTGAGATTCATCCTTTAGAAAATCAAAGTTAATTAATTATAGAAAGGCGGTGTAGGATCTTTATGGTCGCGATGAACTTTTAACCGATAAAAAAGAAAAAAAAAGAAATGCACCAGGAAAAAGCACGACGATCTCACGGCTCGTCGCGAAAGGTCATCAACCGATGTGAAACGAACAACAGGGAATAGGAAGTAATTTCTATGCTGTATGGATGAAGAAGAAAATAGCAACTATGTAAGATGTGCGCGCGAGCATTACCGCTTTTGATTAGACTCCAAACGAGGTAACATTGTTAGGTAACGTGGAAAAAAGGAGTTGGTTTTCGCACGCTTTGCTGATGGTGAGCTTTTAGGTGACACATTTCTTTTTTAATCAGACCAGAAAATTATTAGTACCTCAAATAATTAACCTGTATTTTTAAATTAATGTATCATTTTTATGTAACACTAAGAAAATATATTTACTCAAATAATATAAAATTTTCAAAAAATCATATTAACTGCATTTTTAAGAATTAAGATATATATGTTAAATTAAAGCTGAAAGATTCTAATTTATGATATCACATAAGAACTGTATAATAATATTATTATAATTTCCAGAAAAAAAAAGTTCAACCCATGTAGTCACATTTATATAAGAAAATTATAATTTTTTTTTTTTTAGAGTTTTGGTGCACCGTTTATCAGAATGCAATTTTGATGGGTCATAGTTTATAAATATTTTGGGGAGCTTTTTATGAAAAGTCAAATTACAAGCAAAATATATGTCGCGCAGTTTCATCTGTAGCAAGACTTCTTTTTATGTTTTCATTATTCAAACTATTTTCAGGATAGCTTCTGCTTCCAAATTTACTGATGACTGTGCACCTGGAATCTGCACAATAACATAATACAATAACACTCATATATCGTGTTCGAGACCGAATTTACAGATCACCATATCATTTAAAACGGTTGTTACCATACTAGAATATTTTAAATTTGCCTTTGACAATGACCACCAATATTGTTTTGTCTCAGTATTTACACCATTTTGTCCAACATCCTTGCTTTCCATAAAAAACGATTTCACATCATTTTCGAAACCTAGCCTTGCTCCACAAAACTTACATTCATAAACAAAGCGAACCGCACAGTCACTATGAGTATTATTAAATATCGTGCAATATCCAGCAAAAAGTTGTCAATACGGCTCTTCACATGATAGTGAATCACGTTGAGCTTGGTGTTTTTCCGCTTTATTGCTGGATTTCTCCTCTCTTATTTGGCTTATTCATGATTTAATTTGTGAGTTAAATGTTAACCATTTCTTTGCAGTTGGTTTTGTTACCGAAGTGGCTACTATCACACTCTCCATAACATCCCACTTGGGAACCGTTCACATGTACTATTTCTTACTTGACGTACAGCGGTGTTGAACTGAACTACACATCTATCTACAGAGATTGAGAAAGTGTTACGCAACATTAAGGAGATCTTATCGATGTGTTTCGACATTAAAGTCCGGTTGAGTAGTTTGAAGAGCGTTTTGCAGAATTACTTATAACTTGATGGGAATAGAAAGTGTTCGTTTTCAAACGAATGCTTAACAAATTTTATTGGATTGTTAGTTTTTTACAGGAAACATTGTTTCAATTTGTTCTACGATTTGAGTTTGAGCACGAAATCGTGGCAGTAATGTACAAAGTTAACTGGCGATGGAGTTCAATCTAAAAAAGTGATCGTCAAACAACAGTTTACCTTATGGTACTATAAAGGAAATAGCCATTCCGAATTATCTCAAAGCAGTTTCGAGAATTTTAGTTATTGTTGTTCGATGAGCTATCTTTCACTTACAATGAAATGGTTAATACACTAGCATGTGGCTTTAGGATGACATTGTCGGTTGCATTATTCGTTAGTAGCACGAAAAGTACTTAATCGTGATTTTCGTATTTGCTGTATTGCTAAAAATGATCCAATCAATTTGAACTGATTTATCGAGCAGCGGAAAGAATTGCAGTTTGCACTTTTTTCCAATAGCTCGCAGTTTGCTGTATTTTTGACGATTCATTGTGGATAAATACTCATAATTTTATACAAGAGAAGTAAACATATATATAAACTATATGTTTATAGCTTATCTTATCGAAATATAACTGAAATCAGAATAGTGTACCTTTGGAATTTGTAGACTTACAGTAATGTGTTAAAATATGAGTCACCAGGTTAAGAGGGAGCGTAATCAGGTAAAATTACTGTTAATGAGCGACTTCAATTAGCACTACAGAAAATCCTATTGAGGTCAAAACCGAAGTAACCATGCCTGCAAAAACAAAACAATACTATATATGTTCAATCGTGTACAAAGAATTATTGGCAACCACATTAGCTTCTTCTGCCTTAACGATTTCGCTCATTAACATTTCGATTCAGAATTTAACTTTTTTACACAGAGACCGAGAATTTTAGGAAAGTGTTGCGCCGTATATATAATCTAAACATGCTGAAGGTGATCACTTCGGAATCATGCAAGTTTTTCTGCATTTGATGTGGTACATTCCTAGTTGACCCATACGTTTAGTTTTTCTATAGATATTTTCACCTATAGTAAACAGTGAAATATCGTAAATATTTTTCTAGTCCCTAAAAGGGTGCCTCAAATCAGGCCACCGATTTTTAACCAACCTTAATATCACCAATACTTTCGAAGGTAATGCCATTCACGAATATCTCGAAGAGTAGCGGATAGATATCTTACTTTTCGGCACTATTTTCATTTTGGCAAATATTCCAAGCGGTTCAAAGCGTTCAAAATATAGGTGATAGTCCATTTGTCTTTAATATAGTTTCTCCCTGCATTGGAGTCGTCAAGCAGGAGCTGCTCTTTCGATTTCTTCCAATTTAAGTCATATAAAACCCGCCACTGCGACTGAAAATTGCAGCTAAATGGTTTGGTATTGGACATGGCGTTGTTCTGCCTTATCTGCTTGAATTAATTCCAAATTGTTTGCCCAAATAGTTCCAATAAATTAGCCGTAGCATCATTGAAGATCAATCGGAGTTTACAGATATCAACGTGCAATTGGTATAACTCTGTTATATATTCTGAAATGCATTAGCTTCTTTCTGGTTCTGCTTTTCAAAACCGTTCTTGAACGACATAGGATTTGTGACAATAAGTGCTCTAGTTTCACATAATACCAAATTGGCGGAGTGCTTCCTAGAAAATTTTTAATTCTAACTGCTCCATCAGCGTAGTTCATACCTTGGTCTGCAAAAATTAAGCCCAAGGAGACACAATTGCTCCAGTTTCGAAGCCAATGATGTCAAAAACCCACTGACACATTTAAAACACTTTGTTATGGTAATGTATCTTCTAACTTAAGTTTTATTCATTTTGAATCTCTCAATCGTGATAAAAATTACTAAAAATTGTTAAATTCAGTGAAAGTTTGATTTTAAATTTATATTACCATTGAAACATTCCGTATTGGTAGTGTTTTAAAATTTATATTTTAGAGATTTTATACGGTTGTAAATATGAGTTGCTGCTGTTGGTAAAGGTGAAAGCGAGAATCGTTGTCGGAAAGAGGTCAAACCGTGTTCAAAAGCATTGCAATCTTCGCCACGTAGTCTAACTTCACCTCTCTAAACAGAAACGGATCCATTCTTCTATTTTGCATACAATTACACGGCGATGATTCGCCGTGAATATTTATGGATTTAGATTTTGCATCTGATTATTTGTTTTTATATCTTAATTATATGTAGAAATGATTTCTAAATCAAAATACTTCAAAATACTTTCACTTCATAAAACATTTTGAAAAATTTTAACTGTTATTTCTGGGTTACCCAACAAAATTACTTTTTTTTGTTTTAAGGAAGTTATTGTGTGAAGTAACAAGAAACAATGCACCAAAAATTTAATCGTTTCACGGTTGTGACCATAGACAAAATGAATGCAACAAAAAGGAACCTTCTAAAAATGGTAATCAACCCATTGTTTTAGGAAATCTTCATTCTTTTTACCTGAACTAAAGCTTCTGGTTGTAGTGGTTGAAAACGATCAGCTGCAGAGGCTGCCGCCAATAATTCCATTTCTTGTTCAAGTTCTCTGCATGATGCCGTGGCACTTACGTAAGCTGACGCAAGCATGAAACATCCTAAAATCACCGTTACAGCAATCACTGTAAACGAGATTATTTTTGCTACTTGAACAGCAGAACTATGTGGTTTATGATAAGCCTAAAAAGCAAAAAAAAACAAAATTAACAAATTATAAGAAGTTAACTAATAAAAACAGTTTCTTCTAATTCAGACTAATTGAATTTCTATGTTTGGTTGTAATGATTAACATCCTGTTTGGAAATTTCCTGCGTTATTTGCTTTGCAATGACTCAAAACTGAAAACTTTTAACGTGTTATGGTAATAATTATATTTATGCCATGAAGAATTTGTTTCAAAAATGAAACATTTACAAAAAATTCATCATGATAACTTACGTTCATGGTCAACAACAGTTACTAACTGACTGAACTAATAGAAAAATTGCCTTAACCTTCGTTTATGACGATTTGCGCAATAAAAAATAAACAGGAAGAGTAGGGATTTAACCACTTGTAATTTGTAATAATTTAAAATTGTTATATAGTTGTAAACAAAAATAAGAAACTTTTAAAGGTGTTTTTTACAAGAATCGGATCGAATCAATTTTGTAAAAGTCAAGGTTAAAAAACCGTTGGTGTAACTCTTTATAAATATTTATAAGAAAGACTTCTTATAAAAAAGTCTTCATTTGTATTCAATAAGTTTTCTAAAATAGAAAGATATAATCTATAAAAAAATGTTTTAGACTAGAAAAAGCAAAAACTGGTATAATAAATTAAAAATTAACAATCCAAAGTCTCAATGACTCAGAAAAAATAATATTTTGACCTCCGTACCAGGTACGAATTATTACTTTTTCTCGCTTATTTACAAAAAGTAAATTAGAAAAAGATGAGTTTCCGTTACGTAATGATTAATTACATAAAACTCGTCGAATCGAAGAACTTTAACAACCGTTTAATTAGCAAGATGAATTTTTTTTTGAACCCAACAAACCAAAATCGTGCTAAAACATAATTAGCACACAATATAAAAAAAACCTCCTCGTGTGCTTGAGCAACAATTTAGAACGAGGATCTCTACGTAACTCTCGACTTCAAACTAGATTTTGCGAGAAATCCGACGAGAATCAGACAACAATCGTGTTTTTTAAGTTTCTCTTTTTAGTATCCAAGAATCTAAACATTTTCTTAAACTGTTAACTGTAAAGGTTAAAATTGCTAGGTACGTTTTTGTTATTTTTTTATTTTTAAAGAGTGAAAGGATCAATTGTCACAAGTTTTTTTTTTAAATTAACAAATTTTTAAGGAAAAAATATTTACAAAATATTTTTACAACCTTTGTGCTAAAACCCAAAAAGTGTTAATGTGTTTTTCGTTGCGAATTTCTTTGTCGATTGGAAAATAATTTTAAACGAAAATCCTTATATGGGTTCATTCAAATAAATCACTTTCACAAAATTTAATTTTCAAAGACGTTTTCATATTTCTAATTTCTATTAACGCCCCATTACCATTGTGTTTAGAGCCTTTCACTTCGTTGATGCACTGTTAACCGTTACCTTATTGAAGGTTGTTAAAAGAAAATGCTGCTTGAAAAAAAAAATTACAGTGAGTTTTCTGATAATTACAAAAAATAACTGCAAAGAGAAAAAGGTCAATAACATTTCGCACGATTATGTTATGGTGTGTCTTTAAATGTAATTATTTTTACTGTAATATACCGTTCAAAGTGAAGTAGTAAGACGTTGAAGAGTTAGTCGGTTTTGGTGTCGTAAGACAGAATCATGTACCGTGACGTGGAAAACCTTGGATGATGGTAAATTATTAATAATTGTTGAGAAGAAAAAGAGTACAAGGTGTGCTAATTGATTTTAATATGTTGAAAAATTATAAAAAAAAATTAATTTGTTATGAAATCTTTATATAAGTAAAGTTTATTAATAAAATTACAAATGCAATTTAATAAATGTGGCTTTATTCAATTTGATATAGCTATTTGTGGTTGTATCAAATTGGAAATTTCATGTGTTAATTGTGGTAATTATTATAAATATCCATCTACCGCAGAGATTGAAGTATAGAACCTGATCTAGTAAAAGAATTAACACAAGAACGAGAGAGAAAATGATTTAGATAGTATGTGTAAGGAGTGATGTGCTATTTTCATTAAGTTGGAAAAACGATTTTTTTAAGAATTATGCGAAAAGAGTGTTACTTTAAATAAAAAATTCGGAAAATTCATCAGGATTATTCTAACTTACCTCATAAATGTCGAAAAGCCGAGGAAACAGAAAAATGAGAGAAGAACAGAATAATAGAAGTAAACATCCATCATATAAAGGAAAAGTGAGAGAATTAAATAATTATAAAGTATAACTCCACCTGGGGTTGACTGCTGGGTGAATTGAAAAGCTTGGCAAAGAAAATCCAAACACAAAAACCAGACACCAGGTGACTTCCAGGAAGATCACATGAAAGCTATCATGACAGTTGGATGTCGTCATCAAAAGATAACAATCCATAGAAATGGAACGACAAGAAGAGAAATAGAAAAAAACAGGGCTAGTCACTAAGGTAAGACGAAGAAGAAGAAATTGATACTAAATGTAATGAAGAAAAAAGGAACGTTAATAAAGAAACTTTAGAACTTAAAGATAATTAAGGAAGTTTAACATCTTCCATGGGGCGCATTTTTATTATTTCACCAGGAATAACGAGCATGAAAACGATTTCGAGAATAAGAAGATAGTTTAAAATAAACGACTACGCCTGTATATTCTATAAGATATTCATTCCATACATTTTCAAGTTGTCCTAAAAATTAATTCCAGATTTACATATTTAAATATATACTGAAAGCAGTGAGTGTAAAAATGGTTCATTCAGTTGGTATACCAAGCAATTTAAATATACCAAAGAACAACTTTCAACAATCCTATTCAAACTCAAAACAGTCAATATCAAAAGCAAGATTGAACAAAAGTTTAATAAACATGCAACCATAATAAACAACGTATTTATTAGAAAGTGCAGAACGCAAATCCTGTCTACATTTTCATTTGCCATCTATATACTACTTGATGCTGTTATAGATTCTATAGTTGGGCAGAATTTGCGTTATACACGTGTTATTATGACTACATAATAATACTATGTTAACATTAAATTACTGTATCATTTGTTCATTTTTGCTTTTGATAAACCTTTGTTAGAAAAAAAATTATGCGTTATTCACAGATGACGAATTAATGTACTGGCTACAGTAGTTTACCACATTCATCAATTTCGATACAATTGCTTTAAGTTCTTTTATGATTAATAGTTAGATGAGTTGTGGTCTAAATTTAAAACGAGATAAATAAGCAACTTTTGTAGACTGATATTAACAACAAAGAGACGTTCCATTTTCCCAATCACACATTAAATTGTAAAATAAATATGTTAAATATTAACTTTGTTTATGATTATTTCAAGTGTTTCATAGTGTAAGTTCAGAGTTAAAATGAGCCAAGTAGATGCACTATGATCTCATGCCACATAACATTTTCTGAATATTATTTGCAAGTGTTAATAAAACTATTTAAATTAATCGTTGGCAGTATTGTGATGACAGCTTTCATACTTTTCTGAAAATACATTTAATGGGTAACCAGTTTTCGCAATAACTACTTCGAGGCTTAGCTTCGGAAGTAAATACATAGCACTCAATGGAGTATGTTGTGTTTTATCATTATTATTCATGTTTATAAAATTGCAAACCGTAAACATATGCAAATTTATTGTAGTCATTCGCACATTTGCGGGTTTTAACATTTATTTTTTTTGTATGGTTATGTACGGCCGTAAGAAGCTTATAAAATGTATAAATTTCCATAGAGAATATGTTTGCACAAATCGCAAAGATGCAATTTACTTATAATGTGAATTTTATAAAGAAAACTTTCCAATTTGTTACAGCGGATTACTCTCAATAAAAGAAGAAGTAATGTTTAGGAAAACGGCAATGAAGTAAAACATCAGACAGCAACTAATTTTTCGAGAAGCCTTATAAAGAAGCCTAATTTTAAAATTGAAACAACCCAATTGTATAATTTTTTTCTCCAAAGATTTTAATCAAGCTCCATCCATTCTATCTTAAAATATGTTCGTTCAGCTTCAATTTGTGATATAAATCATATCTTTAACATTTAAAATAAAATAAGGTGATTTTTTGAAATGTTGTGTAAATTTTAAACCAATTTTGTAATCTTTGTCTTTCACGACTTTTATCTTCAAAAATGTTCATAACATCCTACATATTTATTAATCCTATCTCAATTTATTATATTTTAGCTATAATTTTTAATATAAGTCGTATATCAAATCCGTCAAATAAATACATGATGATTTTTTTTACTAAATTTAAACATTTTAATATCTAAAAATTGAAGCAACCCAAGTGTATAATTTTTTTCTCCAAAGATTTTAACCAAGCTCTATATTTATCAATCCTGTCTTAAAATATAATCGTTTAGCTTCAAATTGTGATATAAATCACATCTTTAACATTCAAAATAAAATATAAGGTGATTTTTTAAAATTTTCTTTGTGCAAGTTTCAAATCAATTTTGCAATTCTTGTTTTTCACGATTTATCTCCAAAAACTTTCATAAAATACTAAATATTTATTATTCTACCTTAAAATATAATCATTCACTTTAATTTGTGCTATAAATTGTTGCATTATATCTCACTAAATAAATACAGGCTGATTTTTTCAATTTTCTTCAAATCTCTTCAAATTTCAATCTTGTTTAGTTACTCGTACTGTTTGGTATTTAATTTAATACTTCTTAATGTGAAGAAATTGTGAGTTTCTCTGTTAACAAAAGTATTATCTGAAGTTACTTTTACTGAAAGGTTCCTTTCCCTTTCTACTTGTATTATAAGTTGATCAATAAAACCATTTAACTAAAAAATTTCAGACCATGGTCAGATAATTATCGACGATTATTAAAATAGTTATACATTTTCGCCATTAATAACTCGTTCCTTTACTTTCTTCATTCATTAAATTCAATATTAATTTAATTTAATGTTTTCATCGTTCTTTTCAAAGTTATTTTTGTGGTTACATCAAAATCAATTACTCGCAA